ATACGTATATTTCAATGCTCTCTGCTATTTGACAAAGAGTACTTTCACTTTTTGTTTTTAAATCCATTTTGAAAGACATGAGAAGTAACATGATGCTCACCTGTAACCAAGAAAGGCCATCAGAGAAAGCAGGTTCCGAGGAGGCGGGGCTTTAGTTGTGCAGGGCACTTCACAGCTCCTCACCTGCAGCACAGGCCTCACCCCGCTCTGCTTCAGAGGCTTCAGAGCTCCAGGTAACGCCCCTGAACCACAGGAAGCTATGGTCTGATTGGCCCATCTGTAGCGCACATGCAGGAAGCGGGATTGGACATAGCAAAGCCCCACACGGACCTGCTCCCCTGGAACTCCACAGCGGTCGCACACAGACCAGGACTGGAGTCTAGTGAAGACCTGGTACAATGGATGTGTGTACATCATGATGTTCTCCTGCTCCTCAGTGGACCTGCAAGGATCCAATGGATTATTATTTGTTCAGAGTTGCCCATTATTTTCCTGTTTCAAATTTGATACTCACACTGACTCAAATTTATATTTTTTGTGAATGTCTGAGAAATTTTTGACATCAAAACTTCTGGAATAAATCCTCAATCGTTTTGATGACCACAGCTAATTAACACTATGCCCCAGACCAGTACTCAGTTTCAAGAAGAAAAAAAAGTATGTGATTCAGATTATAGTAAGTACTGCATTTTCAAAAAGATCAGATGTTTTTTGTGTCAGCAATAGAAATTTTGTGTTTCATAGCAGGAAGTCTAAGTTTTAAGTCTATCCACACACCCTATGGCAAAACTCAACTTTTAATAACTTTTACAAATAAAGTAGAGGGCCCAGTATTTMATCCAGAGCCAAACAGTCGATGCGTGATCACGTGGTTGTTCTGCATTCGTTTTCGTGCACCTTTCATAGACCCTAGACACATCGAGCCAGGCTCCTGGGAAACCCACTGTGACAGGATATGTCACTGCACAGGGGTTCTTCCCGCTGGATTCTACACTCCAGGAAACAAAAACAGCTCCCATTATTTTGTYCACAAATCTGTCCACAGTTTTTGGCAGACAGAYTCCTCCTTGCACAAGATCTGTTTAGAGTTTTTGGCCGTTTGTACATGTCTGCTTCTGGGWACAACAGTCAGATTCTGGAAGCGAGTAGCTGAAGCAAAATGCAGCATCTGAACGCTTTCAGCATAAACAAACWCGCCCACAAACTTCTGACCAATCACACAATAATTTCACATACTGAGGGGGGTGAAAAGTTTTCCCAACAGGTTGTGATAAGAAGGGGTGATAGACTCGAAGCTCCAAACAAATTGATGCGATTTTTGTCAAGTAACAACAACAATGATATTGAAACGTTTGGAGGGCGAAGGTGAGTCTTTCATCCTGYTAAAAACAGGTGGTGCTATTGAGCCATTTTGCCACAGCTATTTTTGTGATTCTTGTAAGTTAAAAATTTTAGTTTCTTTGATATTTTAAGGCAGGGGTGTCAAACTCATTTTCACCGAGGGTCACATGAGCGTTTTGGTGGCCCTCGAAGGGCCACTTGTAATTAACTTTGACTAAATGGAGTTTTAACACGTCCTCTTTTAAAAACTGACAGGAACTAAGAGTACGACTGACTAAATCTGAAATAAATATACATAAATTCTATTAAAAGTAAAACTAACGAGTGAGTAGCTGCCATCTTGAATTCTGAACTCTCCCACTTTCTGACAGGGATGATCGACATGCATTATGGGAGATGCAGTTTTTGGTCGATGCTGACTTTAAATCAGCTTATTTTGAGACATTATTACTGTGCTGTCCAACTAAATTGCTCAGTTACTTAAAGGCAACAGCTCA